CCCCAAAACCCCAAAACCCCAAAACCCCAAAACCCCTCTTGGAATAAAAAAGTTGAAAAGATTTACAAAAATGGAGGATTCTAAAATTTCTCTTGAGACTCATTACACCTTGAACAATGGATATAAGATACCAAAGGTTGGCCTTGGCACTTTTGACATGAAATCTGTTGATGAAGTCTACACTGCAATTGTAGAATGAGGATACAGACATATTGACACAGCCAACTATTATTTTAACGAAGATATCATTGGTGAGGCCCTACAGAAAGTGTACAAGGAGACTGACCTCAAGAGAGAAGATCTCTTCATCACCTCTAAGATCTGGGGTCACCAGAAAAAGGACGTCAAAGGTGCTCTTAATGCCTCTCTGGAAAAACTTCAGACTGACTACTTGGACCTCTATCTGATTCACTGGCCTGTAGCTTATGAAGAAGATGAGAATGGGAAATAAAGTGCCTCTTAAAATCCCTAATCATGTTGTATGGGCTGAAATGGAAAAACTTGTTAATGAAGGCCTTATTAAGAGCATTGGGGTTTCCAATTTCAATGTTCAAACTTTGCTAGACATGCTAGCATATTGTGAGATCAAGCCTGTTTGCAACCAGATAGAACTTCATCCATATCTCGTCCAGGATGAACTTGTCAAATTTATGAAAGATAATGATATCATCCCAGTAGCATATTGTCCTTTGATCAGAGCTGGTCTTGAAGAAAGAAACGGGCCTAAAGATGTCTTCGAACTAGAAGTGATCCAAGACTTAGCCAAAAAGTACGACAAGACTCCTGGTCAGATCCTCCTCAATTGGGGATTACAGAGAGGTCATGTGGTCATTCCTAAATCCTCTAAAAAGTCTAGGCTAATTGAAAACCTGGCTTGTAGCTCTTTCACGCTTGATTTTGAAGATGTGGCTAAACTATCAGAACTTGACTGCAACTGGAGGTGCTGCTCCAGCAAAAGATATGACTTTTGATTCAATTATGACATTTTCTGCTAAATCAATACTTGTTTTGAAAAACGGGGTTTTGGGGTTTTGGGGTTTTGGGG